CATGACAAGCATGAGGGTGTCAGAGAGAAGCCAGGATATTATCCCAAGGCAAGGGCTGCTCTCTGTAGGGCTTGGATACCAGCTGAGCCCCACATGTTTTGGGTCATAAGATAAAACCATATTATTTCCATGTTGAGAAGACTGCATTTTACAGTCTGCAATGCATAAAATCTTGTGTAAACTGTTAAGACTTTTTTTTATTTGTTCAGATACATATACATATAGCAAGTTTTCTGATAATACTGATTGACATTTATGAAGATATTTTCTCTTCATTTATTTTTTTCATTTGTGCTACATGTCAGATGGGGTATTTTTTTTTGTTTTTGTTTTTGTTTTTGTTTTTGTTTTTCGAGACAGGGTTTCTCTGTGGCTTTGGAGCCTGTCCTGGCACTAGCTCTGTAGACCAGGCTGGTCTCGAACTCACAGAGATCCGCCTGCCTCTGCCTCCCGAGTGCTGGGATTAAAGGCGTGCGCCACCATCGCCCGGCCCAGATGGGGTATTTTTATAAACAGTTTTATCTCATCTATACAAAACTTTTAGGAGATAGGTCTTGATTACCACCTATCAATTTTTGATTGCAAATCTGGAACACAGAATATTTTTTGTTGCAAGTCCTCTAAACAAAAAGAAAGTTAGAACTTGTTATATTTGTGGCAATTGTCAAATTAACAAACAAACAAACCCAATTCAAATCAATAAGGAACTCACAGTCTTCTGGATGATATAGATAGAGGTACAGAAAAGTAGATACAAGAAATATATTTTAAAATGGGAATTTAATTTTAATAGCATGAAATACGATCTGCATTAGTGCAGCTTCATATTAAATGTATTTCTACATATACATGTGGTTAAAATAAGTATTTTAAGCTATATAGCTAAGATTTTTATGAAGCTGAATCTCCAAATATCTAAGATTAAGATGATTAAATTGGCCATGAATGGATGTTTAGCAGTGTGTGAATGGACACTAGTTACAGGTCTAGGCTCACATGAATGACAGCTGAAGTTGTAATGTCCCTTGGTATAGAAAAGCAGCATAAACCTTTCCTCTAATCAGGACTCTAGTGGGAAAGGAACCATCTCTCATGAGAAATGGAAACTCAAGGATGTGGATCCGAACTTACTCCAAAAGATAATTCTTTATATAAAATCTATGGGCAGATAAATAAAGCAACGGGTTATTGACAAGGAAGAAAATATAAAATGTTTACAGCTCAACCTGACTGATTCTAACAGAGAAAGAGACAACCTCTACTGAAATGAGTTCCCAATACAAATTATAAACACCATAGGAATTGATATGCTGCAAGGACATTACAATAGTTATGGATCATTCATGACAGGGCCTACCAAGAATTCAATACAACAAAATAATCTGAAAGAATTAAAATATTTGATGTAAATTTAGTAAAGAGAAATTTAAACAAGTTATAATCAATATAAAATAAAAAGTGAGCAAAAGCATTTATCCCTTTTATCAAAACCAAGCAATCATAAAAAAATTCTTTTTACTAGCTTTTTTTTAAAAAAAAAATGATATATGTGTGTGAGCATATGCAGGTGAGTGTAGGTGCCTGCAGAAGCAAAAGCCGTCACACACCCATGGAGCTGGAATTACAGGTAGTTGTTACTGACCCATTGCGGGTGGTGGAAACTGAACTTAGGTTCCCTCTAAGAGCTGTGTGTGTTTTAACTGTTGAGGCATTTAAACAGCCCTCTAAAGAAATTTCTGAAGTTGAAAATATGTGTCTGTGATGGGGGAAAAGTCAATAACAGCTTATATAACCAGTTGAATATAGGAGAGAGAATTGGTGAACGTGAATCTTAAAAAAAATGCATAACAAAACATAAACCACAGGATGCTTGAAGGATAGCTTAAGAAATTTGGAGGGTGGAATAGGTTAATTTAACACATATATTATATATAGCTACTTATCTAAAAAAGAAATGACTAGAAGCCAAGAGGTACCAAGGATCACAGGATAGAAATTCTTTGATTGCAACTTCAGAATAAAAAAACACGGTGGATTCTGAGGGTAATAAGCAAGTGAACAAAAATAAAGACTGCAGTGAACACATAGTGAAATCAATAATTCCAAAGCAAAGAAAACCAGCCCACAAATCACAACCCCAAAGAACCTAGACAGCAATGAGGACCCTAAGAGAGACATGCATAGATCTAATCTACATGGGAAGTAGAAAAAGACAAGATCTCCTGAGTCAATTGGGAGCATGGGGACCTTGGGAGAGGGTTGAAGGGAAGGGGAGAGGCGAGGAGGGGAGCAGAGAAAAATGTAGAGCTCAGTAAAAATCAATAAAAAAAAAGAATGTGTAGAATTGAGAGCTATCATACTTTCTTTTCATTTGATGTGATAAAATGCTCCGCCAAAAGCAACCTACCTAAGGGTCTACTTTAGCCTTCAGTTAAAAGCATCATTGTGGAGGGTATGAGGTCTCCTGCTCACAGAAAAGCACTAGAGAAACCAGGATAATTAGCATGCTGACTTGTCTCTTCAATGGAAGAGATGTGTATACCTGTTTTCCACCTATAAGGCTGGGAGTGGGTATGTTTAGTTTATAGGGCCGGGCCCACATCCAACCTCCCCAGACTATTGTGTTTATGCTAGATTCTTCCTCCCTACACCTTTTTCTTTAGTTTTGTTTCTCAGTCAATACAACCCTTACTTAGGGGGAGATGTCACAGGTACTTTGCAACTTGGTGACCCCTATGACATCGGTATGACTGAGACCACACCTGAGCCTCTCCTAGGCCGTTAAGCTCCCTTAAGCTGTTTTGTGCACATGGAGTTGAGATCATTGTTACCAGAAACCTTTTCCCCTAAATTGTACTGTACTTAAATGCCTTAAAAGTAAACTGCCTCGTGTCAGAGTCTAGAAGTTTGAACTGGCACCTACTAACTAAGTCATGCTAAACCACGTCTCCTTCTTGCCTCTCTTGGATTATTCCATTGCTGGCCACAGGCATTTGCAGGAACTCCACACATCATCATGATAGAAAAATCAAGGAACCAGGAGCTTGAAGCAGCTGATCCCATTATCCCTATAGTCAGAAGAAAGTAATGAATGCATAAGCTTAGCTCTGTTTCTCTGTCTTACACAGTACAGGATCCCTACACAGGCAGAGGTACCAGCCCCAGTGTCCAGGTCTCCCTACTTCATTTACCCCAATAAAGGTAATTCCAGATAATTCTTGATCATCTCAAGCTGGCCATTATTGCTGACCAACACAAGAATTTTCATTTGTTACCAGCAGTTTAGATTATAAAGTGACTGGCCCAGCTACTTTGCAGTAGTGATAAATTTAAAGAGATATACATGATGCCTACCTATGGCCCCTATCTTGGCAATTAGGAAAACTGACTTCATCTTTAGACCAAGGGGTGAGATACATCATCGCTCAACAGTGAACATTGAACATACAACTCTCTTCCCATTGATGGCTACAAGAATTCAGCACAATCAATTGGTAGAAGCCAAAACTTTCATTTGATGTGTTCTTGATTGTCATCCACAAGCCCAGCAGTGAGCATCTTCATCAGCCAATGGCAAACATTTTAATATCTCTAGGGAAGGATCCTGACAATAGTGAATTCAAAGTTGAACAATCAATGTTGAAAATATAGAGAAAGAAATTCCTGGCCCTATTTTAAATCCCCCAAAGAACATTTGCTTCAAATCAATTATACCTGGAATTTTTAGTCATCTGACCAAATTGATCTATAAGCTAACAAACAGTAAAATTCTGTCTCACGCTATATCACTCTAAGCTTTGATTGCAGTGTTTATTCTTCTCTATTATTGTACCCAGTAGCATCCTAAGATGAGCAATATTTAACAAGGCATAGGAAAATTGGGTAAGATGTATTATGGAATATTCATATACTGTATTTTGCTTTGAGCATGCTTTCCCATAACATCTTGAACTGCCTAAACTTATCTTTCCCTCCTTTCTTTGAGAGGTGATATAAATATAATTCACCATACACAAATACACTGATGCCATAGAGTCAGTTCCAGTAAATACTTGTTGAATGAATGCTGATCAAAAAGAAAAGCACAGAGCTGGTAGACACCATCCAATCCAGCCTTCAGGAAAATCCACACAGAGGGAAAACTGTATGGGAATCAGATATATTGGAATATAGTGTAAAATGGCAGAAAAGGAGAAATAAATCTGAGCCTTCACTCACATATTCATTTGTTCAAGAGGATCATTGATTAACACCTATGTATCATAGATCATTTACTCTGGCACTACAGCAAATATAGCATGTTGGCCCTATTAAAATCTCATGGCAACCCTTCAGGATGTAAGAGAACCTTGAACAGAGTACATACTCAGTTTATTGAGTGGTGGCACTTAGATAAATGAATAGAACCAAGATCTGTACTCTTTTCATCTTTCTATGAACTGAACATCGGTTGAGTATTTCTCCTGGGCTAACAGAGTGGAGAGAAATTGGTGAAGCACTGGGAAAAGCCTTGGCAGATGGTGTTCCATTGGTGGTGAACACCTGCTTTCCAATCTGGCCCGCAGATACTTTACAAGCCTCAGTTGATATTTTCTACAAAGTTTGAATCATGAAGAGAATGATAGATATGGCCTGCGGCTCTAAGTTTTATTGCTCTGATAGAATGCACAGACACAAAGTAATTTAGAGGATAAAGGGTTTATTTTAGCTCACGATTCCAGGATATAGCCCATGGTGGCTGGAAAGTCAAAGCAGCAAGAACTTGAAACAACTAGTAATATCACATCCATGGTCAAGAGGAAAGAGAAATGAATGCATGCGTGTTGCTTATTTGCAAGTGTTCAGATGGCTTGCCCTTCTCTTTTAGAGCCCAGGGCCACAAGCTCAAGGAATGGTGACACCCAAAGTAGGCTGGATCTTCTAGTATCATCACAGGCAATCAAGACAATCTCCAAAGGACATGCTCACATATGTCTAGATCACAATATGATCTAGACAACTCCTCATCGTGACTCTCTTCCCAAGTGATTCTGCGTCATGTCAAATTGGCAATTAAAGTTAACCATCATATCTGGGTATGCACAAGGAGTCTTCTGTCTTGAAGAAACAAATGAAGGAACACTTTTGAGGACAAAAATGAACAGGGGATAATGGTTCCAGTATAAAGTATTTAATTAATAACAGCTGAAAGTACTTAACTGCATTGCCAGAAAAGCGGTAGTAACCCAGAAAAGATACTCATTTTATAACCATATACTTGAGAATTTATTCCTGGTCTTGGTAATGGGTCTAAGGAAGAAATAAGTGCAGATTCTATGGAAAAGAGTGTTAGAAGTATTGCCAGAATACCTGGCAATAAAACCTAAGGAATGAGAATTTTAGCTTCTAGATTCTCCCCCCATTCCTACTCTATAAAAGGGAGCAATCATAAGACTTACTTTATTAGGGCTAGAGTGGAATAAAGCATTTTCCAGAACACCGCCAATGCTTAGAAATAGTCAGCAGTGATTGTTTTGAGGCAGGTCCCTAAGGAGCAAGACATACCAATAAAGGTTGGACAACTTAAACACAAGTAAGAAAAAGTAGAAAGAAATTGGGGAATAGATTTATGGCAGAAGAGAATCTGCTTGCTCTGGAGGGTGAGGGTTTAAATTTAGCATATGTTTATACTTACTGTGTGCTTAGCTCTCTGCCAAGCCGAGGGATGTAGAGAAGGAAGCTGGAGCACACAGCGTTCAGGGTCCTGCAGCTTTCAGAGGCAATTAAGGGCTGGTAGCCTTGGCTTTGGAGTCAGGTGATGATGTTATTCTGAGCTCACGTTCTCCCACTTAATAACATTTGTATTCTGTCTCCAAATCAGCTCATTTCTAGTAGGCTTAGGGTGGTAGTGATACTGAAATGTATCCCTCCAGTGCTTAACAGGTTTGATGATGTATTTTAAAGACATTTGCCATGATATCTGACACATATTAAGATACCTGTAGGAGCAATAATAACAATAAAGCAAATGTAAATAACTTAAAATAGTAATATCAACATTGGAAGTGCTACCTGTGGTCACTTAACTCAGAAGTCCACATGGAAGCATCATCTTCAACAGGCATGTCTGTGGGAAGAGAACTCCAAACAGGGGATGGCAGCTTGAAAAAGAGAACAAAGGGATGAGTGACAAAATAAAGATGGCTAAGTGTGTGTGTGAGAACTGAGGGGAAAGGACCTCTCCGGAGCCTGCAATGAGTAAAATGCGCAGTTACTGAAAAGTCGAAACACGGCTGATGTTGGGAGATCTTTGAAACAGCAGTTTGGCTTCATAAACACAGGCAGGAATCCAGCAGTAGATGGTCAGAGCAGGCTACACAGTGAAAACAACATTAAATAGGTTGTAAAGTAAACATGGCAGACTGGAGGATCATCTGGAGAAGTGTCAGTGTGGTATCATGTGTCCATTTAGACCTCTGCAGTGTGACAGTCTGCTGGGACAGCAGCTCTGTGACCAGGGAATTTGTATCCTGTAATACCTGACCACTTAGGCTTCTTATTGACTAATTCTTACATTTTTATTTAACCCATTTCTATTCATCTGTGGCTTACCAGCTAAAGGTTCCAGCATCTGTCTCTGGAGGGGCTAGATTCTTTCTGACTCCACCTTCCTTTTCCCAGCATTCAGTTTAGTTTTCCCCCACCTAGCTAAGTTTCATCCTGCTCTGCTATAGGCTCAAAGCAATCTTTTATTAACCAATGGTATTTACAGCATTCAGAGGGGGATCCCACATCACTGATGCCCCTGTGAGTATCACCAGTCCTCCAGCTTCCCTTGTAGATAGATGTAGTGTGGGACCTTGTGGGTAAGAGCTGAGATTTTGGCAATGAGATCCTAGCTGAAGGTGCTGTGACACTATACTCCTTGGCCTGTGACTTCCCGTATCACCCCACGTCTTGTATTATCTTGTCCACCACCCCAAAACCAAGATAGGGCCTCTAACAGCACAGGCTGATCTTAAACTCAACCTGAGTATGCTGAGGATGACCTTAAGTTTTTTTTTTTTTTTTTTTTCCTCCCGGGATTACAGGAATACACTCCCACACTAGATATATACAGTACTGGGTATCAAACAATGTGCCGAGAGTGACAGACTTTGGGACACTCAGTCCTAAATGTAATGTCTTCACTGAAAGCCTCCTCTCAGGAGACAGGGAGCAATGTATAAGAAGAGGTGAAAAGGCTGTAAGAGCCAGCAGCAATGGAGGACAGCAAAGAAACAGTGTCTTCCAGACCTAACAGGACCGGCACACATAGAAACTCATTGAGCCTGGAGCAACATGCATAGGTCAAAGCCAGATGGAGTCTCAGGACTGAAAGGAAAGGTGGAAAGAAACTCCATCCCTAACCCAGAGGCTATCTTCAAATGTCAACTGCTTGCAGAGGAAAAAAGAGCATTTTTTTTTCCAGTGGAATTTTACTGAGCATACAAACCTCACTTATGCCTGTAATGGCCAGAACAATGTAAACTCGGTGGTATTTTTGGAGACTTTTTTTTTCTTCTTTGTTTGAGTTTTTTCTTTTTTTCTTCCCTTACTGCTTTTTTGCATATGTGTTACGGTTTCTGATTTTGTGTTTTTATCAGCTTGTGTGTGTGTATCTGCATATGCTTGTATATGTTTCCTAGGTTTTATTTTTTCTCTATTTTTTTTCTTTTCTAAAGAGTGAGAAAAGGAAGATATGGGGTTGAATGGGTGAGGAGGCAGTGAGGATATGGGAAAAGAAGAGGGAGAAGCAGCTTTGATCAGAATGTATTATATGGTAGAAGTCTTTTTCTCAGTTAATGGAAAGAGGGTTTCCTGTATGCTAGGTAAGCACTCTACCAACTGAGCAAAAACCCTAGCTTCTTCTGCACTCTTGCTCCCTCTTTTCCCACCTAAGTGGAGGAATCCAAGGATCCATGGTGAAACCCTTATACTGACTGATTGTAGGCATAGTGGAGGAATCCAAGGATCCATGGTGAAACCCTTATACTGACTGATTGTAGGCATTTCTACCCTAACTGTCATTGTACAGGAGTGAAAAACACAATGTTTATAAAAATTAGACACTAATGTTTAAAAGACCTTGGATACCATGGTTAATATACCCTAAGACAGCTCATGACTTTATTAAATCTCTGCTTCCTCATTGATAAAATAGGATTTCCTTGTCAATGGGCCCCTAGCCATGACAGGAGAGTTGGTGATCTTTTGTTTTAAGAGAATCAAGATCTGTCCTCAGCGCTGGCCATGTGGCATGTGTAGCACATCCTAGAAGGAGGCTGAGGTACTGGGTGATGGCTGACCAATTTGCACCATTTTTGACAAGTTTTCCTTTGTGTCGTGAATGGTTCAATATTGTATATGGAGTAAACGAGATATGCAGAGGAACCCTTTGAAGTTTCTGGAAAACTTCTTTTATATTGAAAAGGTGACTTGAAGAACACTCATTTCTTCGTGCAGAATTTGCATATTAACATGTAAGAAAGTGCTACTTGCAACCACCTTGCATTTTTTTTTCCCACTAAGAGAGAAATTGAAGGCAAAAGCTAGATGAAGATGGCAGAATGCCAAAGACAGGGTGCCAATCTCCGGAAGCATCCTGACAGCTGAGGATCTTTGGGGCGGTGAGAACACTCCCTTTTCTTCATAACATTCTTCGTTGTTTCTCTATTTAAAATGAAAATCATCCTAATCAGTGTTTCTATTTAGACTAAACTAATTCAAGTGCAAGGCATGGGTCAGGGCTCAGCAGGATTTTTCACGTAATGGCCATGATGATCACCATCAAGATGTGGTTCTCCTAGGGTCAGTCAAATACCTCAAACCTCACTGTCCCAACGTAGAACCAGGACTTGTGTTTCAACCATGTTACAACATGTTGTAGAGGTTGTGGACCTGGTAACAAGACCAGTGAAAGACAACCAGAGAACCTGGGCTCCTTTAGAAACCCAGGGTGTAGACGGGATGTGGTGGTAGATGCAGGAGGATACGTCTTTTAAGTGAAGTATGGAGTAAAATGTGTCCTATACAAATAAGGGTATTACTAGCTAGATAATATTTAACTAGCACTCCCTTCTTATCACAAGTAATTCAAGGCAATAGAACAGAACAGCACAACCCTTGGCAAGAAGCAGGTGGGAAAGCATGGGATCCTCACATCGTTTCTCCTGATTGGTAGAAGGGGTAGACACAGAGCCTTTCGTCATCCTGCATTCTGCCTGTCAAGGTTGATAAAGAGCAATGCTGCTTTGTGAAAAATGATGCCGCTATAAAAGCCATCTTTCCTATCTCTCTTCTGCAAGAAATCAGAAAGGGGAATCCAACTGAGTATGTGTGTTGAAGTTCTAGAGGAAATAAACAAGCGATTTTCTCGTCCTCCAATGACCCAAAGGATAAAAACACAAGTAACATCATGAAGAAGAAAGAAGGGGAGTAGATGGAGAAAGAACAGACTTTCTGTGATAATTTCCTCTTTATCGGTGTCTTTCATGCGTAATTTCATTTTAGAGCTTAATGATTCAATAAACCAGGGAGTGCTCCTCCATCCTCAACACCTCACAGATTAGCAGAGTGATACTCAGTGAAGTTGAGGGCTTTCCTCCGAGATGTCAGCCAGGTCCTTGCATTCTAAGCACATGTGCCTGCCTAACCATGTTCCTTTTCAATTTCTCCTCTCGAGGATGAAAGTCTTGGGTGGCCTGGACTTTGGATTCAAATATCGTCACGGCAGTCACCCCGCCCTCGGAGGAGCTGGCTCAGACATGAAGAGGTGCTAGTGAACACTGTGTTTACGAGGGAGTATGGGTCTCAGGATTCTGGCTAAGCAACAGCTGGGTGCAGCTTCTGTGAATGTACTTATACTTGAGCCCCAAGGAGTGGTTTAGAAGATCTTGTCTCTGACTTTTGTTTTCCAAAAACAAATAATAAAGGAATAAGAAACAACACTCTTGGCCACCAGGACTGTTTATCTGTGTTTCACGTTCACATTTTGCTAATATATATATATGAATAGAAATGCCAGGGAGTAAAAGGTTTTTAAAAGATGTTGCCCGTTGTTTTCTCATAGATTTGAGGACTTCTGTCTCACAAGATAGTCACTAGGTAAAGCGGGTCTACAAATGTTTTTAAGAACTACAGGAGATCCAGAAGCAAGTCATAGAACTGTTGAATACATATGAACCTCTTTCTGTTCTAGTCCCTTCTGCATGGATCCTTTTAGGGGACAGTGGACTGGCTGGACTCGTTACTCATGCTTCAGACCAGAATTCCAGCTGGACTTATGACATTTTCTCTAAGATAATTTCAGCTTCCTTCTGCCTGTGTGGCCCCAGATTCCCGTTTGGAGCTGTCTAGCGGCACACAGTGTAGGATAATGTAGGACTTTCTACTCTCCTCTGAAATGGCACTTTTCGACTCTGGGCAGCATTCATTCACCCCACAAACTGTATCTGCAGCGAGGATACATGTGTTCCCTCTGTTCTGCGGAACAATCACGTTAGGCAGGGATTGCTGGTCACCTCTGCTGTGGAAAGAGAAAACAACTCAGAGAGATTAGATCAGAGGTCCAGAATGATGACCGTTGCGAATATCGCCAGTTGGGCTGTCCCTGTCTCCGTGTCACCATGATTCCTGAGCAAGCACTTTCACGCATTGTCTAAATACAGCGCTGCCCACGATGATAATCTACTTTCTAGGAAGCTTTAGGAAAAGACGCTTTTGCACAACCCATTGTTTCCGTGCCTCAGTTTCTCCATGTCTTAAAAGAAAAGCAATGAAAAGGAATTGCCTATGTTTGGTTAGATGGAGT